AAAAAAAAAAAAAAACAAAAAAAAAAAAAACAAAAAAAAAACAAAAAAAAAAACATAGCCAGCAGTGCCCAGCACAGCCTGGCTTTTGGCACGGCCAGGCAGTACTGTGTGGGTCGGGAGGTGTTGTGTGGCATACTATGTGGGCTGACCTTATCATGTGGATTGGGCGGTACCATGTGGGGTGGGTCAGACTATGCGGACTGAATGGTACTAACGCACACAGCCATAAACACACACGCGCACACACACACACACGCACCTGTTGTCCTCCGTGTTGCTTGCTATAGAGGTGAACCTGTTTCATCGTTGGATTGACTCATCTTGAGTGTGTTTCTTTGTTTGCAATAGAGGTAAAGCTACTTTGATTTTCGATCTACTCAGCTGGATGTTTGGTGAACATTAAAAAATCACAGCCACAAAAAAAAAAAAACACCATGGCTTTCCGGGCCCACACACCAGACCGATCCGGACTGTTCAGTTTTTCTGGACACTAGCCAGGAATTTCACAGGGACCGGGCGCGGAACGTCCAGATGGAGTGGTCCTGGGCTCAAATATGTTTGGGAAAACGAAAAAGAGACATGTCATAGAAAGGGCGAGGCTGATCGACGGATCAATCTCGGCCGTAGATATCTCTGTTTGCTTTTTGCATCAAAACTGCTGAGCTACTGAAGGTGAATCTACTGAATGTACGGAAAAGAATGAACACCTTCTACCAAGGTTACACCACCCATCAACGCCCATAAAATGGCATAAAGTCTCATACGGTGCACGTTCAGAGTTCCTAGGCACCAAGAAGGCAAGCAGGCAACTGAAACAAAAGAGAAGCCCCTAGTTAAATGGAGAGTGAATTTGGCCAATATGCCCAGGCAAATGCATCCACTAGTAAACAAACACAAGACCACTACCAGCGAGAGGGCCGTTTTTCATGACCCTGTTTGTTTGACACGGTCCCCAACTGTCAGAGGGCCATGAAAAACAGCCCTCCCAGAAAAAAGGGGAAAAAAAGCTCTCCCACTTCCTCTGTGGATGAATCTGGCTTGATGGTGGAAGAAGCAAAAACCGTTTTTTTTTGTGAAGAAAATTCAACAGATAGATGCAACCAGCAAAAGAGAGACTGGAGCTGAGGTGGGAAAGCAGTTAAATAGCGAAAGGGTCTCCCCAAAAATAAGAAAAAAAAAAAAAAACAGAAAAAGACAAGTGGGAGAGGCATTTTTCATGGCGCTCTGACAGTTTGAGGGCCGTAACAAACACCCCTCTCACTCTTCTATGATCTTTTGTACGTCATTTTTTGATGTATCTGGCCGGGATAGAGGCCTGACATAATTTTATTTTCGCTTGATTTTTTTTTTTTTTTTTTTTTTTTTCTTGTCCTTGGACCTTGCTCCACCACTCACCAAAGCATGGTTTTGGCCTCATTGCTCCACCACTCACCACGGCCCGAATGTCAGAAAAACGTTTTTTTCGCCGTGGTGAGTGGGCTCTGGTGAGCACTCACAGTGGCTTTCGTTGTCCACACCTGCAACGGCGGGGTTTGTGTAGGAACCTCATGGCCGCTCACCGAAGTCGGTGAGTAAGGGCGAGATCCCACTGGCAAAGAGGATTGTAGCAAGTGTCTGAACGTGGACGTGAGACATTGCCCTTCTGTGCCTTCCTGCCTTGCTTTTGGTAGATGTACCCGACTTTTTTTTTTTTTTTTTTCCCTCTCTCGAATTACGAGTGTGCACGATGCCACGCAGACTGGGCGGTACAGAACTCACAAAAGGAAAGAAAAAACAGAAAACCAAAAAAAAGCAAAGCGCATGCATCTGAATGCTACACCCATCAACTGTTGATCGACATACCTGAGCTTGAATCCTAACGAAGAGAAGTAAGAAAAAAACTCTGTGATCTTTTTCTTCTGTTTGGGGTGAGCCCGACCCCGGATTCAAGCTCGTGACCTGGTTGCGAGCAGTCACGTGCTTGCTGTCCATCCAAACGGGCCTGCCATCATGTAGTTGTATTCAAAGATCAAGGACAAACGACAAACAGAAGTGAGCTGATGAAGCGATGCAATGAGTAATGACAACGGCCCAAAGATAAAAACAAGCTCCCCGCCAGCCCAGAAGCAAATTAAAAAAATCCTGATGTGCCGAGGAGACGACGCCGCGGAATCATGAGAACGGGGGAAAACAAAAACAGAAGAAAACTGGCCGACACGTCTCTGGGCCCACCCTGGGTGCAATGACATATCCAGCACAGGTTGACCAGGTCCCGTGTGGGAGCGTCACGGAAGACCCAAGTTCCAAATAATGGGAACTACCCAAAAAGTAAATAAGAAAAAAAAAACAACAAGAAAGAGATTACACTCAAAAAGTCTCAAATAGAACAACTTGGTCCAGATTCCGATGTTTCGCAGAAAACCTCCAAGATCAAAGTCAACCTGAACGGTTCTTTGGTAACTGTGTATCCACGACGGGCCTTGTCCTGTAATAAAGAGTCGTTCGTCACCTGATGTACACATACGGGGCCTCTCCGTACGAAACGTACAGGTAATATATGTACGGGACCTGTACGGGACCTGTACGGGAACCTGTATGTCATATCGTACGTTTTGTACGTCCCTGTACGGGGAAAAAAAAAGATAAAAGAATTCCAAAAAGAAAATATGTCATGCAACAGCACAATACAAGCAACATTTAGCGCAGCAGCATCTGCAGATTCTGATTAGAATTTGAGGAAAAAGAACAAAAACAATACCGGATTAAAAAAAAAAAAAGTAAAAAAACCCTTGTACGGAGCCTCTAGTGTACAAGTACAGGAGTACGAATCTGTACTTGTACGAGGGTGTGTACAGGTGGCAACGTTAAAGACCACGAGAAATATGAAGATAAACCACAATAAAGAAAAAAGAAAAAAGAAAAAAAAAGAAGAGAGTGAAACTTTCACACCCTTGGTGATTACTCGAGTCCTCTCCACACTGTACGAGATAGTCAGTCACCTATGAGGGTTCAGCCTCCTGATGAGTCGGTGAAACTCCGACGAAACAGTTTGTCACAGCCCCTCGTTTGTTGTCCTCTTCTCCCTCTCTGCCTACGGTTTACCGGGCAGTTCTAT